TCTTAAAATTATAATATTAGCTACACTAAGGGTCAAAATAGAGATCACAATCACACTAACGAAAAACAAATAATATAATAAACAACGTGCGCTATATTTAACATAGACACACTGCTGCGAACGTACTCATAACTACATCACAAGTCTCGCTCGCGCGCGCTGTCTCACACACACGCGTACAAACATACATACTTATACATACAAGAGTAGAAAGCAAAAGGGAATGCGCATTCGTAAGGGTTGGACACGTCGGCGTAGCGCCGTGCCCGGAAAGGGTCATGGGTTTGTTCATAGAACGTACTCTCAGAAATATATCATAGATATATGGGATAAACAAATCACCAGCACCACCCTTCTCGCGACCCGAGCCGCCGGGCGCCGGGCGTCCAAAAAACTCGAGCTCAGGGCAGAATAAGTACCCCACCCGAGCACCGATAGGACGCCGTTGGCGACCCCACCGTCCGCGCGACGTCGGGTGCGCGCTGCAAGGGCAGCACCAGTAAGTACAAAAAAAACACACACACAAAACAAATCATGTTACACCGCCACCTCGATAAAGAAGACCCCTTGCAAGCCGCGACTGTCTGGGAAATTACCTTCCTCTGCAGACCGCTGACTCGAAAAAAACAACAAAACAAAATATCTACAACTTGAACACGAACGTTATGTACAGAGCCGGCTCTATTTACAGTGTGGTAGGGGCTCACGCCTCGGGGTAGCGCACGTCGCTACCCGGGCGTCGGCCGACCACGACCCAGCCGGCGCCGAGCGCCACCCCGCGCGGGGGCGGCGCGGCGGCGCGGCTGACTCCGGTGCGCCCCACTCGCATAGCGCGCGTTGGCCTGCAACGCGGCGGAGTGGGCTGGCTCAGCTGGGCACAGCGGCGCCCTGCTCACAGGCTGTACGGGTGGCAGAACTGGTAGACGAGCCGCTGTGAGCGCTCCGTCTTCTTCATGATGCCCTTCTTGTAGTACTGGCGGATGGAGCGCGACAGCTTGTCGTAGTTCATGGCGGGCCTGTTCTTGCGCGCGCCCCACAGCCGGGCCACCCGCACCGAGTCCTCGATCTTGAACACGCCGCCCGGCCGGTCCAGCCAGCGCACGCACGAGCCGTGCAGCTGCGGCGAGGACAGCAGCTCCTTGAGGAACTGCCACAGGTGGATGTGCGAGCCGCGCGACGAGGACGACGACGACGAGGATGACGAGCAGGGCGTGACGGCGCCGCCCGCGCCTCCCGCGGCAGCGTCCATGTCCTCGTCCTCATCTGCGAAAGAGAGATGGCACGGTTATCGACGGGGAACAGAAGACTCTGGGGCAGCCTGTAAACAGCCAGCTACACAACCCAGAACTCGTAAAAATAAGAGTGAGACCACCTGATAAAAGTTCACTTACCGTCCGAGGTGTCTGCCGACGAGGCGCTGGAGTTGTGCGTGCTGTGCGGGCTGCACACGGCCTGGTCGAGCACGGGCGCGGCGAGCGGCGTCGGCGGGGAGGCGGTGCTGACGGGGACCTCGAGCTGGTGCAGCAGGGGCGCGGGCGACGACCTGTCGCCGCCGCCGCCGCCCAGCCTGCCGGGCTCCATGTCCTCGGCGCAGGACGCCTTCCAGATCTCGAGCTGGGCGAAAAGCAGGGAGCCGCTCTGCAACAAGAAAGCACGGCGCAGGGCGCAACGGGTTAGGCGGGGTCCAGTGGGCCCAGTCCCTCTCTCCTTCTCCTGCCTGCTGGTTTATCGCCGTCTTTCGCCTTGCTCTCTCCGCGGACCAACGTCCTTGGCGGGCGCGGCCTTGAAGGACGCGCATACCTCGGCGCCCAGCGCCACTACCCGCGCCACTCGCCCCAGGGTGTCGGAGGCCGACGGTGCGGCAGGCAGGTTTTCTATTTAAAATAATTTCTACGGCGGACGAAACCGAGAGGCATTGGCTATTTTTAATTGGAAGTGCTTCGTCGTTAAAACGTTGAAAATTTGTTCGAATTCTTTAAAAATAAAT